AACTGGAGTGACAAGCAAGTTGAGTCCAATAACACTACAGCCAAAAAAAAAAAAAGTCCCTCAAAGGATGGATCTGTATACAGCTAAGCCTCTGCTGAGCCTACCAATGCTTCTTTCACTGGACCCTTTCCCCTATTATTCTCAATGTGATATATGCACTCTATGCTAAGTGGACATGTGTCAGTGTGTGTATGTGTGCGTATGTGTGCGTGTATTCTTCTCTACCGCATGTGTTTTCTTGCTTCTGGCTTGGTGCTGAGCCCCGCCTCATGATTGGCTCGCTGCCCCTGTGATGTCATGGCGCACTCAGTGCTGGAATGAGAAAGCCGCTGTGCTCCCCCTGCTCGTGAGTGTTCCCGTCTGCGTGTGCTGGCGTCTTTTCCTTTGTGGATGAAGCTCTTGTTGTTATCCTTCCTTTTGAAACCTGTCCACCTTGGTTTTTAAGCGTTGTCTAACCTCGGTAGGGAGCTGAGGCTCTTTCACCCCTTGTGTTTTCAGGTGAAACGTGTTTTCCAGACAACGGGGAATGTTTTCTTTGGAAAGGGGTTGGTTGCTTGATTGCATTGTGCAGCAGCTCTACAACACAAAGATCGACGTTTTCCTTCCTCGTTACCTTTTCTACCTTCTTCCGTCATTTCTCCCAGTAGCGCACGTCATCTTGATTCTCACCCTTTATCAGTAGCCTCAGTCAATATGCAGTAAAATCACCGGCCTCTCCATCAGCATCTATAGCTCCTCCACCTTTGCGTGTGCTCCCTCTTTACCTATTTGCAAAGGCTGTAGGGCCTCGCTGTCGAAATTTGGTCCATTCATTTGAAACACAGTGAATGAAGGAAGAAATCATGGAGGATCTGATTCTTGTAAGGATGTAGTGATTTGGAGGATGATGCGTGATGCTCCTTTTAAACGTGATAGGAACTGTGCAGCAAGGACAGACAGGTAGCACTGTGATTGTCTTATTAACACTGACCCCAGACTCGTGAACTGTGAAGACACACAAACATTCATATATACAAACAAAAGCACACCCACACACACATGCATACACATATCAGAAACACATTACATCATTAAATATTGCCTGGTCAGAGTGTTGGATAGTTTTTTGGGAGTTTGCTACAGCAATAACACAACAAGAGCACAGAAGATGGGAGCCAGGGTTCTGTATATCTACATGAAGGATCTGGAACTGAAAGGTGTGACTGAATGAACTCCTCAGTGAAGACAGAAACTCCATCTGGACGAACAGCAGTCGTGTTTGACGTTGGGAAGCTGTGCCGTTTCTGACCGGTTCCGTCGACTTTGATGGGAAATGAGTCAGAGAGGATGCACTGATGCAAGATCAGATGACTCAGCTGTAGCAGTGCGGGGCTGCGGAGGCCTGAGAGGGATTATTTGTTTTCAGCACTTAACGTAGCAAAATATAAACCAGGATATGTTAACTTAATACACTGATACCTATTGAGGAGTTTGCTGCTGCCGAAAGGTAGAAACCACCGAACTCCACTTTTTTTTCTGGTCTTTTTCTGAGTAATTTAAGTTGTAATTGTAAGTGTTTCCCAATTTAAAAAAAAAAAACACATCACCGTAAACCACCTATTGTTCCCTTCATCTACTTTATGCAGAAACCTGACGGCAGCACTATGAAAGGGTCATATATCATAGTAGCACACATTTCCTGGGAATCAAAACATAATATTTAAGTACTGTAAATGCTACTGTAGCCTGAATGGGAGACACTGAATGAATGAACACATTAGTTACACATCACACAAATGCACATATTTTCCATGCCCAGTCCGCGCACATGAGAGCCTCATCCGATATAGCACACGTTTTTAATTACATATCACATGTTTTCCACTGTTACTCCACTCAGGTTTTCAGTTCTGCTCTGTCAGAATCCAAAAAAATGTTTTCGTTTTTAAGTTCTGAGTCCTCCTCTCAAAAGAGGAGTGCGGGACACAAAGTGAGTGCTTCAGAAGGAGACTTTGGGGTTGGGGCCATTTAGGGAGGGATGGGGGATGCGCAGGAGGGGGGGTTTTGGTGGAACGTTTGAAGCAGGATGGTAAGTGTGTGTGTGTATGTGTGTGTGTGTGTATGGTGGGGAGGTCTTTGATTCAGATAGGACCAAAAAGAACAGTATGTGGTCAGTAACCACTCAGCTCTTTGCTCCCCTCTGCTGCTCAGCTCCTGGGGAGGCAAAGGGACAGCTGACGTCTCTGTTGGTTGTGTTTCTCCCAATGCATTTTCACCAGTTATTAACAAAACTTAGCCAGACAGGTTTTGGTTAAGTGTTACTCCATTTACAAATAAGTACACCAAGTAAATCAATACAATTAAATTCATGTGAAACATGAATTGTTTGCAGCTTCCTGTGGGCTGCTAGACAAAAAACATAGTCCTTACGGGGTTTATTTGCGTTACATTTTTTAACCTGTTCTGTAATTTTACCAAATCAGCTTTTCTTATAAAGTCAAGGCTTTAATGCTGAGCCTTGAATTCAACTACCAGAGGACAAAGACACCCTCTCTTTATATTTACAGTGTCTAAACTCTTGACTGGCATGACTGATGCAGCTGACAGCTTTTGAATGATGGAGGCCTGTGACTCCCTCAGTCTCTAAAGTAACTCGCTCTTTCAGATTCTATTAGTCTCTATATGTCATCTTGTACTGTATCAGCACAAGAAAGAAGTTGGATTTAGGCCTTGTAAAGAAAATATATGACTTCATCTTGTGTTAAAGTCATAATCCTTAAGATTTCAACACATCGAACCCTATTTTTGACATTTTTTATGGTATTTTCTCAGCAACATTCAGTGTATTTGCAAGGGAAATTGCCCCTCTGCTGTATATACAGTTTTAGTTTTCATTGTTAGTTGTGGACTCTACCGCATGGTATTAAAATTGCATAGCCATGCAAAAAGTATTCACAGGAGACAATGCTTCCATCTGCTGGACATGATGCAGAAGACAAAAACCAGTGCATGGACATGTCTCAAGTAATTTGCAAGACAACGTTCAATCAGTATTGGCGAGCACCGACACTGATGACTGCTTTCTGTAGTCTTCGCAGTTAATCTTTTTTATTATTCTCAGCATACGGTTCATTTGGTTGCACTGTAAATAGCCACACGAGTTGCTCTTTGTCATTTCTGACAAAGCAGCCACCAAGGCAGTAGCTACCATTAAAAGTGTGTGTAGAGAAAGCTTTTTAATTAAATGTGAGAAAAATCATTTCTTTGCTGGATAATCAAAAATGTATTATATGGTAGGGTTTCATTAGGGAAGATAGTGACCTCTGTATTTATAAAACCCTGACTATGGCCCCTGGGAGCCTCTTAGAGTGTGTTTAGCACCAGGAAAAGGTGTCACCAAATCAACCAAAACTAAAATCTTAAGGATTATAACATTTACTTTGAGTTATTATCCCTTTGTTTAGCTTACAGTTAAAAGACCAGACCACTTGATCCGTTTTAAATCCAGAGGAAATGTACATTTAGTCACTTAGTGAAATGATAAATTAAGGAGTTATTTAACTGGAATTTGTCAGTGAGCCTCTGCACTATGATGAATTCAACTCCACCATGTTTGTGTTGTGTGTGTGTGAGAGAGAGAGAGGAGAGAAAAAAAAAAAAAAAGGAGAGAACGAGAATGAGAGAGGAAAGACGAGAAAGAGAGAGAGAGATAGTGCTTGTTGGATCGGGGGAAGAAGAGAAAACGTTTTTATTGGGCTTGTGACTTGAGAGGACGTGTAACCAACGACGATGTATTTAAAAAAAAAAGTATTGTAAAATTTTAACTGTTGCAAAGAATAGAGATCACCTATACTCCTTTAGAATGGATACATGACAATGTAAACGCAATATCATATTACTCTATCCTAAGGAATGCAACTGCGCACATGCACAAAAAAAGATGTTTTTATGAAAATATATGTATAAATATATGACAAAATATATTTAATTAGAATGCTATGCACCCTCATAGAGTTGTTATGGATGTTCTTTAAGCATTATCTAGACTAGGCAAACGCCCACATCATGGGGAATGTAGAGGCTTTGTAGCTATGACCACTTGTTTTCTTTTCTTTTGTATTGTCCTTGAGAGAGGATAAACAAACGTGAATATGTATACAAGCCTTTCAATCAGAATCATTCTGACATGAAGATATGTATAGATCATCTTACCCTGTACACCAGCTCAAACCATTTACAAGAGTTAATAAACAAAGATGTGACATAAATGTTGTGTCGAGCTTTTGTATAAAGTGATAAATGAATGCAGCCTTTTTGCATGTTTCTACCGTAATAATTCCTACATGGACGATTGTATTCAGTGTTAGTTTGAAGTGGTGTATGTCCTTCACATGATATCTCTAAAATAACCTAATATGATCCTGGAAATAACATCATTTATACATTTATAAGCTGTTGTTGATTTCCTTCAAGGAACTGCTCTATTCCCACCCAAGTAAATATTCATTCCTTATAATTGGAAACTTTATTTTCCATATATGCTGACAGTACCATGTAAATGTTTTGGTTTTTTTGTATGTATATATATATATATATATATATATAAATATATATACTGGCTTTTTATGCCTTTAACGGATAGAGACAGCAGAAGGTAGAGGGGACAGCAAAGACCCACAGGCTGGAATCGAGCCTGGTCTGCTGCGGTAAGGACCTTAATACATGGGCCCGAGCTCTACCCGGAGAGTTCCTGAGGGGCCTCCAAACCCCAAATTTTGCATGTTGAGCTGACCTGCTCTGTGCTGATTAAACTCTCCAGTTTACACCATCAATTCATTGGAAGAGTACCACCTGAGCACTGTATTCTCCTTGAAATTAGTACAATAAGTGGTATTTTCCAGGGAACTTAATATAAATGTACATTTATTCCACGTCAAGTCATGTGGAGACTTGTAAATTAAAGTTTTATTATTTGGTGCTTTCTAATTTTACGTATTTGTTTAAACTATTTACTTGTACTGCATACAAAGGCTAATAGGTTTGCCATGACTACACATTTCCTTTGTGTAATCACGTGAAAAATCACATATAATACAAATACATAGTACACAAGTCCATGTATTGTTACTATCACAGTTTAAAACTGAACGCACAGGATTTAAGTAGGCTCCTGCCTTCCTGGAACAGGAAAAACTACAACATCCATACGTTGTGACGCCCCCTGCTTTCAGCCAATCACAGCTCTCCGCTCTACGTGTTGTTTTGTAGGAAGTCTGTGAGTTGTTTTGGATGTGCTCACACCACGTGGAGAGGGAGGCACGAGGTAACTTTCCTGTGGTCAGTAGCTTCACATCGTCCTCCACACTGTCCCCGAACACCTCCCCCGTTGTGGTGTTCTCGCTAGTCGACGCGGTGCAGTGCGAGATGTCAGCGGCAGGTCAGAGCACCGGGAGCCGGGACATCCCGGCCGTCAGACGGGTCACCATCCACGATTCTGCTCACATGCCCCAGGACTACTCCACGACCCCCGGAGGGACTCTGTTCAGCACTACGCCAGGAGGTACTGGGTCAGATCAGGGATTAGAAGACAAACGGTCAATAGTACATTAAAGTTAAAGGGGTATTAGAAGATGGGCCACCTGCAAGGGATTAAAGAAGAATACCATGCGGATATGGAGAGAGGCAGTGTGGTGGAGAAAGGTTATCCGAATATTTCACTTATATTCCACCCCATCACACTGTTCCATTGTGTTAAACATTGAACTGGATGGGTTGTAAATTTACACCTTTTATTTTATTTTATTTTTGACAGTACAGGGACATCTTTTAGTTTAATTATACGTATTTATTTTCTTTATTTATTTATTGTGGTATGAAAACAGTTCCTGGTAAAGGAAAAAAACTTTGGAGAGCCAGGCTATAGGTCTTGTCCTGTTATTTTGTCCTGTTAATGTTTGACTGCTGGTGAAGGCTAAAGACCACCAGTTGATAGAGTTATAGGAAACTTATTGGAGCAGTCCTCTGCACCCAAATCCTGCAGTCTGCAAAGTGCACAGTCTTTTTCGCCTTCTTGTTTTCTTTTGCCTGAGTAATAGACCAGCGGAATCATTGTAGTGCTACACTGGTGTCAGTTTGTCATGCATTAGTTTTATCTTTTCCACAGTGGCTTTGTGTAGATGTATTTCCTTATTTATGCCAGAGGAAAAAGTCAATGTATAAACATGGTTATCATTTTTCATTCCCATATAATTCCACATGGCTCCTGCGGATGATGAATCTGTTGATTACAGAATCAGACACTCTGTACTTGTTTCAGAAAGTTTAACATGAATATATATTCATTCAATTATGAATGGCATGCTTCTGTATTCAGTGTCAGTAGCCTGTAGTGTAGATTACTTACACAATCAACAACCATACGGTCAAATATAGGCCCCTACTCACTCTTAACCTATTTATAGTCTTGTTATTACAGCAGGCAGTTGTTGAGCTGCAGCAACATGTTTACTAGATCTGAGCTCCACTAGGTCACACTGGTTATATTTAAAAGGAAAGCAAAAACCACTATTTTAGCTTTATGCAAAAAAAGAAAATGACCTAAAATCTGGATGAATATAACTTTTGGTATGAATTATTAATGGGAATTTAAAAGTTTAACTTTAATTCAGTCGACATGGAAACGGAACAGATGATATCAGCGTTCAGCACACAGAACGGCCAACAACAACTCACTCTCATCAGCACACTTCGGTGGTTTGGCCCGTATTCAGTATTTTCCTCAAACGTTTATAAGTTTGAGACCTTGGGAAATCTCCAACGTGTTGATAAAAGTAAAGCAGAGAATGTTTTCCCTCTGTGGTTGTGAGAAAGCTGACACAGAGTCCACATGTCCATTATAACTGATACTGTGCTCTGTTGCCACATCACCAGGTGGGGCAGATTTACACAGATAAAACCCAATTAGGTCATTGAAGGTGTGTCACTGATATGGATGATCAAATAATTTGGTCCATTGGTCATGGGTATGTATGGACATGTATATAGTAAAAGCACCCTGTTAGAGTCATCTAACAGAGAAGAAGTAGATCTCAGAATACACTGTGGAGGTGGTTGATAATATATATATGTGTGTGTATATGTGTATATATACATATACTACTGTTAATAATAACAAAATACTGACAGGAGCTGACTTTATTGTGTCTTTTGCGGCTGTCGCCTGCAGGTACCAGAATCATCTATGACAGGAAGTTCCTCTTGCAGTGCCGGACGTCTCCTCTGACCCGTACGCCTCCCAAAATGCCCGACATCCCAGGAGTCACCTTGCCGCTCAAACCTGACTCATCCAGCAACACAAACCAGCCTGAACAGACACCCAGCAATAACACCGACCACATCCTGCATAAACAGGAGAGCGCAGGTAAACGTGTCTGTAGATTTAAAATGTGAATGAGAGCGATGAGCCTCAATGTGTTTCTGTAATTGTCTGTTTCCTCCTACTCAACTGCAATGTCTTCTTTCTTTTTCTAGAAGATGCCCAGTTTGAAATGGACATCTGAAGAGAGTCAACTACGAAAGTGATTCCCAACATTGTCATTGCTTTTTTTTTGGTTTACTGGGATTAAAATGTGTAAATGAGTCTTACTAAACTGTGTAATCCACTTTCAGATTCGTTCTGAAAAACAGATGGCATTTTTTTGTAATGCTTAATATGTGTTAAAATGTTGTACTCTTATAAAACTGATACATAAAATTGTTTCTTTACTTTTACGTACGCTTGACTTTGTATGACCTGCGACATATTTGACATGTAAATCAGTCTTGTGAAAAATAAACCATTAATATTTTACGTGATGCGACTCATTCAGTGACTTTAAACGCATGTTTAAAATATTCTGTGTTGTACAAATAAATTGCTGAATGTATTTAGCTTCATTATGAAAAGAAACAGTCTTAGAATAACCAGATATACTTGAATATTATGGGAACTCTTGTTTAGAAATCTGCAATGAGAATAATCTGCCACTTGGGGGCAGCAGAAACAAGCAAAACAACACTGACACCTCAACTTCTTTTAAACTGATATAGCGAATTTGATAGCAGACAGTTGCTAATTTACACATCCAGCAGATACGAAGCTGTATTAGCTTTCGTGTTAGAGTCGTGTTTATGTTCACCTGATGAATGCAAGTCCAATACTCAGTTTTCTTTCCTGTCCTGACAAAAAAAACTGGGTAGCTTTAGATGCTAAATTCAAGCTATATTCACCCGTTGTGTTCGACAGCTAGCTAACTTTTTAGCTCTGCTGTTTGGTGGTGGACAGGTAGTGTTTTTAATTTTTTTAGCTGGAAACCAAAGTGAGTGAAATATAACAGTAAAGTCGGGGCTCATAAAACCGAAACAGTGAGCTGAAAGATGCTAATACACCCAGGGAGCTGGAGCGGCCCTTACCACAATGAACAGAAGAGCTCCGGGAGGTGGGGAAGTTAACCAGACATACATTTACCAAACCAACCAGTTCATCTTAATCTTTGAAAACCTAAAAATATTTGTTAGAAAACACTTATGAAAAGTGTGAAAACAACCACAATATTTCAGCAGGAGAGGCACAGGTGTTACTAATGACATTAACAATGGCTGCATTCCATTCAGGTTTAAAGCTATGACAGTGAGGCAGCATGCACAACACCGGCACCCTGAACTTGCACACCTAAATAGAATCAAGTCCTCCTACACATGTGCTTTACAAAACAAGTCAAAATGTGTACAAGGCGTATTATGCCTTATGAATTACCATAACCCAGGTAGTTTAAAATAAAACACAGAAATAAAAACCATTAGACACTTTGTTCAAGATAAAAAATAATTTATTGTATTACTGTACATAGTAAACATACACATGGGTCAATGTGACCCAAACATCTCAATAAAAGGCGCTTACACCATTCTACATTTCATTTTAGTGGCATTAAAAAAGTCTGTCTCCAAGCATAAAAGGAACAGTTTGTACATAAGACCTCTTATGTACCTCTTATGTGAATCTTCTATAGTGCTTCAGTCAGTGACCATATTGTGCTTTTGTCTTGATTTCATCTTAACTGGATCAATTACCTTATAAACTTGAATTATAGCTCACCCCCTTGCAATCCAATGCACAATTTAGGTCACCTATTCTTATACAAAACATACCAACAATTTATAACTTCACTTTTTAAATCCATAATTTAGAGAGTTGAGTCCGGGATTTAGAGTAGTTCCCTTCTTGTACACATCTCTGTAAAGTGCCTGTGGACATCCATCCACTTTGTGCCTCTGTGGCTGTAGACTGTAAAAAAAAAAAGGAACCCAAAAGATTTTCAGGCCTTTTGCTCAGTGGCAGCCGCACTCCTCCACCAACATGTTCTCGTGATGCCTCATGACCATCTTCCCGTTCTCGTAGTAGAGCATGGAGAGTGGTGCCAGGCGGGTTGGCACGCAGGACGGACACGGCACCTTGTCTGGGTGGTGAAGTTTCAGCAGGCTCTGGAGAGAAAAAGAAAAAAAAAGATTGATTAGAACTCATCTCTTCATATAGGGTATTATTAATAGGTACACATGTTGCAGAAAGGTAAGGAGTTTGTCTTCATTTCAGTCTTACCTGCATGTATGCATGGTTGGTTGGTGTGAAGGTCTCATCTACTGGTGTAGGACAGCTCCCCTCACAGCGATAGGCGTTGTACCGTTTGGGATAGACAATCCACTCACTCCAGCCCAGCTTGTCAAAGTCCACCCACATGTCCACCTTCCTGCAGAGAGGACCCTTCTCCTCCTCTGTGGGCTTGCTGGCAGGAGCCGCTCCACTCACTCTCTGCTGTTGGGTGTGGTGGTGCCCCTTGGACCTGCGGCTCCTGGTCCTGGAACCAGACCCGGCCGCCACCCGCTCCCTGTCCAGGCTGACGTACTTGGAGTGCTCTGCTGTGCGGATGAGTGTTGGCATTCGCTGGCCGTTTGGGTTCTGCCTCGAAAAGACCACCATCATGACCCGGTCGGCTGCAGGGTGTTGGTCTCCCTCCTGCTCCTGCTCTTCCTCCTCCTTCACCTCATCCTCCTCCATCCTGAGTGTGGAGTGCTCCCGCTGCAGCCAGCGGAGGAGCATCTCGGTCATGTTGAACACCTTCCAGGAGGAGGGGGAGACCATCGAACTGGGATGAGCTCTCAGGCGGCCCAGGAACATCCTGTTCTCTGGGCAGTGCATGCCTGAGCACTGGTCCCTGTGGGAATGGTAGATGTCCACTGAGGCTCGGGAGGACTCTGTGAAGGCAGGCAGGCGGATGCGAAGTTCGGCCAGTTGGATGTTGTCGCTGGCAGACATGGAGGACATGTCAAAGGTGACGGACCACCTTTTGCCAATCTGCTGGCAGCCTGAAAGAGATAATAGTAAAGAAAATTGGTTAGTCTTACTTATGACTTGTATAAGATAAGGCATTTCATTGGCTAACACACTTGTCATTTAACGTTTCCCAGAAAGACTATTGCAGCTCTGACAGTATTGGGAGTTGCAATAAAATACAAGCAAGGTTTGATTAGACAAATGATTAAATGAAGGTAACTGAAATCCACATAGTTTTAAATAGAATAACATATAGCCCATGTGCACTGCAACCCAATGCGCCACAATGCCAAACTCCATTAAAAAAAGATCTAATTTTGTTTCTATTGTTGAATACTCACTCTTAGCGACAAGGCTGATGACAGAGTCGGAGTCGTGCAGAGCGGGGTTGTCCTCCGTCTTGATGTGGCTCAAGCTGGCGGCCGGGGTCTTAGCCCGGTCCTCGGTCAGCATGGTCCGGTAGAGCTGCATCATGTAGAGGGGCAGCCTGCCCGTCTGCTGCCGCTCCACGGTGCGTCTGGGTCCGCCACTCATCCCACGGAGCAGTATGTCAGGGTGCATCCCTAAAAAGGGCTGTGCGGCGAGAGCCAGAACCAAATCCACCAGAAGAATAAGCGCAACAGAGAAATCCACTGCTAGTCCCTTCATAATTCCAAAGCGTGGTGTTGTCTCTTCCACAGGTAGATTCCAACTGACTGCCGGTGAGATGCTGGGACTCGGTTTTATACCCACACACCTCCATCCTGACGGCCTTTGAAGAGATCTGTCAAGTCGCGGATGGTTGAGGGGGTGTGTGATCCATGGGAGCGCTCAAAGACTCAGATGTGACAGGGTCGTTGTGTATCGAAACCAATTGGCCTTTGTAGTGGTCGAGGTGTGAAAACTGTAAAAGCCCACCACTCTGATGGTTGTTGCTTTGTATATTAGAGATCCCTTTGATAAGAAGCCATGACAATAACATTAGTTAAGGAGATTAGGAGCTGCACAAGTGCGCTGTGATTAATGGGGAGTTAATCAGAAAATGCTTTGTGTAGCGCAGTCTGTTAGGAGACAATCTAACAGCTGGGGGCAGGTAATGTTGTGTCAATGTTTGACACAACTCTAATGCAGAAAAAATTCCTATTTTCCATGTTGCATTTTAATTTTTAGTACTAGTAGCTATTAGTATTAGTAACTGACTGAGAAGGTAATACTGACATGATGGATCGATTGCGCATGTCCATACGTTCAGTTTCATATTTTAGATTGAGAATATACTATAACTATATATATATGTTATATTATAACATAATATAAATATTGAACAAAGATTTGGAGACAATTTATTTGTCTTCAAAAAAAGGTGGTAAAGGTTTGCCTGTGTCAGATGATATATAACAACAATAATGAAATCCAGTTTTAAAAATTAACTGAACAGGGGAACATATAAACATACGTGGATAAATAAGACATTATCATTAACTAACAAGGATTAAAAAAAATCTAATAATATAATATTATAAACAATAGGCTAAATGTTAGGATATTTCTTAAAGAACGATATTTCTGTCTATCTTCCATCTTTGGTAAATAAATTATTTAAAAAATAAACTCAGTAATGTATTCATGGAGCCAATCGATTTAATTGCTATATGTGGTTATTTACTAATCTGCAAATCAATGCTTAGGTGAGTTGTAAGAATCAAAACATTTGGACAGCTTCAATGAAAAGATGCAACAAAACCAGAGTCTCTGATAATTGACATTAATGACGGTAATGATCGTGGCCCATTCATAACTCAAACTGCACACTTGGCCTCAAAAGAAAGAAGAAAGAGATGATTGCCAGCTACAAAGCTTTGATTCTCTCTGAAGAGTATGATGTGTGAAAAGAATCAAACACAAGTAGCAGTGCCATTAGTATTAAAGTCCACTTCTTTGTCCTGTTCTGTTTAAAGTCTTTATTGTAACAACATTAAATACACTATTGTTTAAACTATAATTTGGTGATTGCAACGGAAGTACAAAATATTCAACCTTAACTTAATCACTATTGTGAATGAATGAAATGAAGCAGCATTATCAAACTTTGTGACGCCATGTTTGTGCTGTACATTTCAAATAAATAATAAATATATTTTAAACAAAGTTACTTGAAAGTATATTTTAAGTTTATAAGCGAATTGTCGGAAAGGTCAAATACAAAATATAAATCAACTGATAAACCGTGATGTATTATACGGTACTGTATATTAAACTTTATCAGCTGCAACATTCGTGATGTTTAAGTATTTATACATATACTATGAACTGGGCCTCTATATATTTAGTAGCCTACTTTTACTGTAAATATATTTTGATGCTTATACTTATGTAAGTGTACTTGAATGCAGCACTGGTACAATGTGCTGTTGTTACTTTTACTTACTGTTTATAAAGCCAAGGCAACAATACAAGAACAAAATCTATCCAAAATGCGCGTGGCCTTCTCTCAGTCTCACAGCAGCGTCACGCGCGGCTGCCGCTCTGCCACACAGCACGTGCACAGCTCGCTCTCAAATCAACCACACTGTAGTCCGCGCTCGCGCCCACTCAACTGTCACAAACATGAATGACATGTCAAATAAAAAGTGACCTGTCTGTTAGCCAGACTTTTAAACATACACGGAAAGGAAAGCTGGAAAGACAGATTCCCTACATAAACAAACAAATAAACAAACAAATCTAACATCTGCAATAACATTTAAAACACACACCCGATTAAATAAAGAAATAATGTGTCCAGTCGCTTCTGATAAGTTTTCCATACAATAGATTGTTATTGTTTGTGTGGTGACGGAAGCTGAGTGGTCAGCCTATGGTCGCACGCGCACCTGCAGCAGTGGGAGCTAATAAAAGCATTTGCTCTCAGGTGACGCTGTTTGTCCCGATGAGCTGAGGGCCGCTATGGACTTACAGTTCATTTGTTGGATTCTTCTGGCAAGTCTGACCATTTCCAGAGGTAAACTTTCTTCTATATGGTGTTTAAGGCGTTTGAGTAGTTTAATTCAAGTCAATGTGTAAGTTATAAAACAAACAAACAAACATGCAGGGCAGTTTTGTCATTTGCTTTAGATCTAAACATGAACGAGACAATATGGCGTCCATTCCACGAGTTCAGGGCCACGAGCTTTATTTGACTTTTAATGCAATTCAGTCAGTTTTAACTGAATGTGATCAATATTACCTGCAAACTTGGAGTTTTGCCTGTTCCTGTACCTGTTTGTCATTACAACATATTTGGGTCAAATTCATTTAAAAGTGGGTAAGAGGATGCAGTTGCATTTTTTGACCTTAGACCCAGTTTTTATTTGTCTATTTTAGCTTACTTTCCTTTGACATTTGACCATGTGCAAGTGCATATCATCGTTTGTCCTTTTGAGGCATTGTGATCTGAGCCAGGATCAAGAAACATCACCAGGATTTGTCACAGTTCCCTGTATTTTGAGAAACCCAAGGCAAGATGGTGAAAGAATGCACAATATTTGATCTGTTTGCGGCCTTTTTTCTGTTCGGGTGCATTTCGTCAGTTCGTTTTTGAAAAGTGCCACATGGCTGCCCATACCATTGAACCTTACAGCAGGCACACATTTATTGACTGTTAAGCTCATCTGCTGAAATCAACTTCTTTGATCTAAAAAGGGGGTGTTTCATTTTAGACAAATTCATCCACTGTGTCTTTTCCAGTGAGAGGCAAATTGTATTTTCTAAGCCTTCGTCTTTGTACTTTGCCCTACTCTCTCTTTGTACATTTCTAGGATGCCATGAAGGCCAGTGGCAGTGTGATGATGGAAACTGCATCCCTGATGTCTGGAGATGTGATGGCGATGGAGACTGTCTGGATGGATCTGATGAAATGGATTGCACTGGTGGGTATACTTCCTGTCTCTGTGCCGGTTATTGACACTTTGCACTAATAAACTGCTTTATTTTCAGTCACAGTAGTTGTTTGTTTTCTTGTGAGTCTGAAATTGTTAACACCATTGTTACCTTTTATTAGAATTAGCAGCAAATAAAGCGGATTAATTTGTTTTTAAACTGCTTCACAGTAATGACAAAAGGTGCAAAATTAACACAACAAAAGCAAAAACAGAGTTAACTATTGATTTGAGAGAGAGAGAAAACTACTTCTGATAGATATGTTATACCGAACACTTTTGTTTGTAAAATGAAACTTAAACCCTTCATGTGTCTTCTATATGCACCGTGTTTTGTTGTCTTCCTTCCAGCACTCCCAGGCTCTCCTGAGTGTCCGCCGGGTCAGTTTCCTTGTTTGGACTCTGTCGGCTGTGTGGATTCTTCGGCCCGCTGTGACGGACAAATCCAGTGTCCCACCGGCTCTGATGAGGAGAACTGTACAGCTACCCAGGACTGTTTGGAGTCTGACTGGACCTGTCGAAACCACATCTGTATCCCCAAAGAGCAGCGCTGCAACGGACTGAATGACTGCCTGGACAACTCTGATGAAGAGGACTGTGGTGAGAAAGATGGAGGTGTTAAATGCTGTGCCACAGGAAAATGTAACAAATGTATCTCTACTGGCTTCTACTGTAGCAATGCTGATAGTTTTATTTATCCAGGTATTGAAATAACCAATCTTTGAAATGTCTTACTGCATACCAATTGGCTTTGCCAAACATGTCTGAGGAAAACAAAAGTAAGATAATATTGGGACTCACATCTGTACAGGAGCCAGTATACCGGATCTGCTTGAAGGTCCTGCGCTCTAGTCTTTACTTATGTTTGGTTGCGTTTTACCATCTAGTCCTGAAGAAATGAAACAACAAATAAGTTTGATTGTCATTGAAATCACAGTATATATCCACAAATCAAATGAATGGTGAAAATATCTGTCAGTGTGAAAAGATGTCCGATGCATACAGCTGGTAACTCAGGGAAGGTATGAGAAACAGTTGGTTAAGTCCTGATTTGTTTGTTTTACAGGTCTGTGTGGCGAGGAGGGCATACGGTGTCCTGAAGGGACATGTCTGTCTGCTGAACAGAGGTGTGACGGGCAGATTGACTGCTCAGATGGCAGTGATGAGCCCATAACATGCGGTAAGTTGTGCATATACATGCATGTACGTATTACTAATCTAGTTGGGAAGCTCAAAGGGAAAATTGGCTTTTATTTTAGAAATAAATCCTCCTTTACTTTTCATGCCAAGGAAAAACTTGTAGAATTTTTTATTTTATTTTAATATGTTGTGATTTGCTACCCTGGCCAGATCTCTCTTGTTGTTCTCAATGGGACTTCCTTATTGATTGAATAATGTGATACAGTAAAATGCTTCTGGAGCCTGTATTTCTGTACATTGTGCTGAGTCATATTGCACCTCCTGCAGGTCGTATTTGCTCTATGAACAATGGTGGCTGTAGCCATGTGTGTGTCGATGTAGCCTGGGGAGTTCTGTGTGCCTGTCCTGTTGGATATAAGCTCTCTCCCAATGGAGCAGTCTGCGAAGGTGCGTGGGGCATGAAAAAATAACACACTATTCACTTTCCATTTTATTTTAGTGGGCACAGCTCTTGCTTATTATGCTAAAACCCACTCTCTCTCTCTCTCTCTCTCTCTCTAGATTTGGATGAATGTGCCCCACCCTTTGCTCCCTGCCCACATCACTGCGCTAACACCGTCGGATCATACTATTGCCACTGCAGAGACGGATTCAAACTCAATGGAAGCTCCACATGTCTAGCTACAGGTAATCTCTGGATTTAGTTTCATCCTCTAAAAAGATGAAACCCAACAACAAACATCATGAAGTGCCCTTGGGAAAAGATCAGTGACATGGTAATGGCCTTCTTTCATGTGGCCAAGCTCAAAAGCAAGAGCAAAAAGTTCAGAAAGATCAAAGACAGAACTTTAAATCAAGCAGGTTAATTGTTACTCGGAAATGTTGGTAATACAAGGATGATATTAAACAAGATGCACAGTTTTACTTTTGTCCACATATAGTCAGTGATTATTTTTATTTTTTGGTGAATGGTTTAACTTTGTAACTTTCTACACTTGGAGTGAAATCTAAGGTAATTCCTCCTGTCAGTGATTTGAGGGATGTTGAACTAACAGGAAGTCAATCTTACTCCAATCCAAATATTTGCACTAACTGCACCCTTCTTTCTGAATTCATAAATGTGTCTAGGTGATGCTATCAGATTGCTAACGGTGCAGAGGAGATCTATCAGTCTGTTGAATGTGAAGTCTCAACAGTTTGAAGTTATCCAGACTCTAGTGTCTGACCCAGTGGCTTTGACTTTTGATCTCACCCGGGGCTGGTACTACTGGGCTGACAACCATGGCGGCATTTACAGAAGTGATGGAGAGCACAGCTCGACAATCTATACTGGTTAGTTGACACAAAATATTTGTGGGTTTTTTTTTTTAATAAAAGTATTGGGGTCATACAGCTTGTTATGTAATCCCAAAGTGGAGCTATTAGAGATTCTGTAAATAGTCACTTCTCTGCAGTGACTGATCAAAACTTAAGCATGAAAAGTAATTCAAAGCAATTCGGATTCAAAACACAACATTTCTGTTTCAACTTCACATTTTCAATGGGTTTTTTATTTTTTTTATGTCTTTTTTTTTTTTTTTACAGGAGAGCCTGGAATCAAGGGTCTAGCCTGTGATTGGCTAAATGGAAACACATACTGGACCAATGAGAAGACGGAGTCAATCTACATGCAGGCAGCTGATGGGAAAAGTTACACTACTCTGTTGAGCAAAGACATCAGCCCATCAGAGTTGGTGCTTATATCTGTTGAGAGGTATGTTTGATTATTCTATCTGCTCCATAAAATGTAAAATAATATTCAAAATGTTGTATTTATACAGTGTATGAAGTCTGCAAAATGAAGTCATTATGCTAAAATGAGCTGTTAAATTTAATATACTAGTTGGCACACACAAAAATTCAGAGACTATAATAAACTACAGTATGTAATGTCTATTTAAATTCCCCACTCTCTGCCTCCCAGCTTGATGTTCTGGATCAACACCGGCCATGGCGACAGAGTGACAATAGAGAAGTCATGGATGGATGGGTCGGAAAGAAGCTCTCTGACTGCGCTCACTGCTCAGTCTGCTCACAGCCTCACTGCTGACGTGGCTGCCAGGAGGCTGTACTGGATCAGCGCCTTCAAGAAGGTGAGTTAAGCAAAGAAATGTGAATTTGAACTTGACAGAGTGCATCAGACACTTTAGATTATGAGTTAAATTCATTATAAATCTGCCATATACAGATTTATAGTTCGTAATAGTCCTTTTTCACAGCTGACCTTTTGACTTGTCAGTAGAAAAAGCATAGCATATGTGCTTTTAATAAGATTAATGATTGTTCAGTACTATTAAAGTGTCCCAGTTAAGTCATTAGAAAATACATAATTTGCTTTCAAACTGAGATTGTAATGTAATGTCATAGTAGCCATATTCCAGTGGTTTTGAGCTCAATTTATTAATGTTGATACGTTTGGTCCAATAAAATAAAGTACATGATAATTTACTTTATCTTCATGTTGGGAAATGTCTGCAGACAATAACATTGAATAGTAAAATGAATGAATAACGTATAAAAAATCTAAATAAATGTTTTTTTTCTATGATGTAGAAGTTTTGGTATATTGTCAACATTTTCTGGGGGGTGTCCTGGAATCATGACCACAGTGTTGTGGAGAAACTTGTTAACTTAATTGGCACGATGAGAGGAGAATATAATACCATAACCTAAACACTGTTTGACACTGTCAGTGTGGATTAACCATTAGTTGTGGTTTATCCTTCATACATTGAACATGAACTTATTTCATTCAGTCTATAGAGACGGTGAAGGTGGACGGGACGGGCCGTTACTCCATCACAGGACTGTTCAACAGGAGGCCAGCTCTCAGTCTGGCTGTATTTGCAAGTTCCTTCTACTGGGTGGATGACAAAGGACTGTGGCAGGTTCCACAGAACCAACCGGACCAGAAGACATTTATCTGGAAAGCGGCCCTGCCAGTATTAGCAGTCTACCATGAGCTACAGCAGCCTGAAGGTACTTGGAACAATAGATTTAATCTAAATGCAACATGATTGTTAAACATCAGTGGAAATTCAGAGAAAGAAGTGCTGTTATGAGGTCATGGGTTATTTTTTTGTCTTGTTTTCATCAATTAGGTTCTTCTGCATGTGGAAAGACTCATTGTCACCTCTGCCAACTAACTAAAGGGAACCCTGTCGGATTCGTCTGTGCTTGTCCAAACTCCAAAGTACTGTTGCTTGATGGGACGTGTGAATGTAGGTTTACCATAACTTTAATTTGCTTGTGTTACAAGTGAGTTTTCTCCCATTTCAAGGTCATTTCAAGGCATAAATTGTAAATGATCCTACTGAAACTGTTATTTTCTTAAACAAGGGCTCAAACGGATCTGTTAAGCAGTGGGCTTGTTAGAGCAACTTCCCCTTTTTATGGTCTACAAGACATTTTTAAAAGAAGTTTTATTTTGTATGCATTTCATGTAAAACTAAACCATCTATTTTTAATGTCCCAGATTGTCTCTTGCTATTATGGGAATGAAGGTCATTTTCTCTGGTTCTCAGGATAGATGGATAGATGGATAGATGGATAGATGGATAGATGGATAGGTAGGTAGGGTAGGGTTTTAGGTTAGCGTAGGGTAGGAATGATAAGTGCATCATAAATACGTTTTTTGTTATTTTTTTGTACCACAGATCCAAGGTTTATATACGCTACCTTTACCAACATCAACATGCTTGAGTTCAGAGGCAGAGAGTCCACTAAAATCCAGCTGTTTGACACTGACGATGGGATCCTGTCGTTTGATCTGGACTGGTATAGAGACTGGCTGTACTGGACTAACCAAACTGGCCACATCCAACGCACCAGTGTAACCCAGGTGAAGACTGAGGTGGTCACAACCCCTTTGCCAGGTTGGTGCTTTAAAGTCTGTTACATACTTTGGTAACATGCTATTGTAGCAGAGCTGAGATAGCTGTGTAATCACTGTATTGGCACTAAAATGAGGTAGTAATTGCACAATGCAAATGGATTAATAATTAATAATTTATCAAGCTAAAATACTACACATTTTCTTGTTCCAGTTTCTGGTTAATTCCTGAAATGTAATAGTTTGGGTATGAATTTAAGGACACAACTGTAGGTTCTTGTGATGAGCATTTTTCTCCATTTTCTTAATGTGCATAAATAATAGATTACTTGTTAATGAAAATAATTCCTTTGAGATCTACTTTCTATTCAGTCAGTTTAGTATTAGCCATGGACCAACTTACTTAGTCACATTACAGCTGTCTTCACACTTCCTATATCTTTATTTCTTTGTAGTTTGTCTGATAAAAGTAGACCAGAGGAGAGGGAGCCTATTTTGGGTGTCATGTGACCAACACAGCATTGGCACTGCCGCAGCCGACAATCGATATCCAAAGCAGCTGTACCATACAACAAAGGAGATTCGAGACCTGTATCTGGACTGGCTGAGGGGTGGCATCGTGTGGCTGGAGGAAGAGCAAATCTTCACCATGAGCATGATGGGAGGCAAAGCCAAAGAGCTGCTACACTTAGCAGGAGGAGTGAGGGGGAACATCGCCTTCGACCTCAGGGCCAATAGTTTGCTGTGGAACTCAAAAAGGGCAGGTCTGTCACTTCGTAGATCAGAGTGATGCAGTTTTGCTTCTCATGTTCAAATATCCCACCAGCTGAAGCAATGAGATTCGATGTATGAAGTAGTGTTTTAGAAGATGAAGTGTACATATGAAACAAGATATTGGTACAGCTGTCGAGAAGTTTTAAGTTCTTCAAGAACTATACAGTGTTAATTTCAATGTTTGTTTTTGTATTACTGTAGTGCATGTACCTGCTACATATAATTGGGTACCTTGGGAACCTTAAAAAGATTACTTGTAGTCTTTAATCATGTTCTTTTTTTTTACAGTTTAAATTTGATCAACAAAAATTATCTTTTTTTTTCATTTGTGTTAATCGTGTAACAGTAAGGGCTGACAGGGTGTTCAGAATCTTTGGTGATATTGTGATAAATAATTGAGTCACGTCTGGGGCTCCAACAATCCAGAATTTTGAATCTGGGGATGATGAAATCTTAACCGTATTTCCACAGTACAGACCTGTTGAATGAGTTTTGGATCTCGTACTTTTTTTTTTTTTACAGGTTTGACAACAATGAGTTTGCTGCAGGAAAGAAGCCACCGAGCAGGTAGAAGATGGAACATTTCAGGCTCAATCGTAGCGGCCTTTGAGCCTTTCCTGTTGTCCCTTTCTGATGATGTCATGACTTTGTGGGACCGGCGTGATGGGAGCGCCATCCAAGAGGTGTCTGTAAGGGGTCATGTGTTGAGTGTAAACGTTGCACTCAGGGACATCCGTACAGGTCAGACCACGCTTATACAGATGCATGCTGTTTACTGTATATCAAAACGCTCCTCTGATATGTAAAAGGTGGATCATAATTGGCTTATAGCAATTTGTATGGAAGCCACATATTTTTACTCTTTCCATAGTGTCCAATACTCCAGTCTGCAATGAACCCTCTGTGCTGTGCCGACACACATCGGTCTGCCTCTCACAAGCCCAGCTGTGTGACGGGAAAAAGGACTGCCCTGATGGAGATGATGAGGAGTTTTGTGAAACCACATGTCCATCTAAAGGTAAAGTATCAATCTGACAAATTCACAGATTTGTTGGAATGGGCCACGCAGCTCTAAAATACTGTGAGTAGTTAACCTATTAACCACTGACTTGACTAATAACTTGAGCTTCTCTTTTCTGTTTTTAATTTCCAATCTTAGAGGATTTCAAGTGCAAGGACCGCAGGAGTTGTATTTCCAGGAATCTTGTTTGTGACGGTCGTTCTAATTGCCGTGACAGCTCAGATGAAGTTGACTGTCCGACTGTAGCCGCTCCTGCAGCTCGGGCAAATATCCTGAAGTGTCGCACAGGCTCAATGCCATGTAAAGACGGCACAGAGTGTGTTTTATACAGCCACGTGTGTGATGGGGAAGAAGACTGCCGGGATGGATCAGATGAACTGGGATGTGGTGAGTTTCCAAAACTCAATTTGAAAAAGTTCTAATGACTAAAGAAACATTTTAATTGGAAATACTGATTTAACGCTCCTATGTGGTTGAACTTGAACTGTGTTATTACTGTATCTTCAAGATGCCACAGAACAGAATCTATCAAACGAAATGCCACCTGCTACCAAAGCTCCTGCTCCGACTGTGCCAGCCTGCAGAAGCCCCTCTGTGCCCTGTCCCCATTCCTCCACTCACCTCTGCATTTCTCCAAGCCAGTTTTGCAATGGGCGTAAAGACTGTCCTGATGGCTTTGATGAACAAAACTGTGTGAAAAGATGTCCCTCAAGAGGTAAGCCTTGAATGTAGAGTTTGTATATATTATGCATTTGCCTGGGGAGTCAAGCTTAACAGATTTGTCATTGTTTTCTATAATTTCCAACCAGACGACTTCCGCTGCAAAGACCGTCGAAGCTGCGTCTCCAAGACACTGGTCTGTGACGGTCGCTCTCATTGCCACGATGGCTCAGATGAGGTCAACTGTCTGAGCATAGCTCTTCCTGCAGCTCGAACAGATATCCTGAAGTGTCGCATGGGCTCCAGCATGTGTCGAGACGGGACAGAATGTGTCCTCCTCAGTCACGTTTGTGATGGAGAGAGAGACTGCCGGGACGGATCAGATGAAGAAGGATGTAGTGAGTTTCTGTGCTTTTACACAGCAAGTGTAATAAATGCTTTGCGGATTAGCACAATCTGCTAGTAAAGAATGTCAGTTAACTGCAATATTTAAAAACTTTTACTTGTATCCTAAGTTGTCTTGTTTCATACCTAAAATTGCCTGGCAAATTAGGTATATAAATTTCAATATAAGATAAAGTGATGGTGATACTGGTGTCTTTTTTTTAAAATTATTATTCAGTAGTTCAGATATGTCAATGATACCAGTAGCTTATTATTGAGACTATTAGAAATGTTGGATCTTAGGCGTATATATACATTTATGGTATTCATCACTGATCCTCAATCATATGGCATGATGGTTTTAAAAATTGAACTTTAAACTTACTTAACTCAACTTACTGTTGTGTTCATCAATTGTCAGATGCAGCACAGATTGACCCTACCACTGCTACAGAAAACTTAAATGAATCACCTTTAGGTGTCAAACCATTTACTGAGCCTGCCACCAAGCCATCCTGCACTAGCCCTTCAATTGTGTGTGCAGGTTCATCTTTATGCATCAATCCAACACAATTTTGTGACGGAACTAAAGACTGCCCTGATGGATCTGATGAGAACTGTGTTAAAAGATGCCCTGTGAAGAGTAAGTAGTCGGATTACGGGCTGATTGAGACTTCTCTGATCTCGACCACACTGGAAAAGTGCAAAGTTATTATTTTTGTTATCTTCCGTCTTCTTCCTCAGCTGATTTTCTCTGCAAAGACCGTCGGAACTGCATCTCCAAGAGCCTGGTTTGTGACGGCCGCTCGCACTGTCATGATGGCTCCGATGAGGTCAACTGTCCAAGCGCAACTCCACCTGCAGCTCGGGCAAATGTTCTGAAGTGTCGCATGGGCTCCAGACTGTGTCGAGACGGGACAGAATGTGTCCTCTACAGTCAAGTTTGTGATGGAGAGAGAGACTGCCGGGACGGATCAGATGAAGAAGAAGAATGTGGTGAGTGTTCATTCAGAGGTTGTCTTTTACAAAGGTAATAAATGTAAAAGTGCTTTTGTAGAATATCATGTGTGGCTGTTTCTAATAACGTAACAATTTCACAATATCTTAATGTTTTGAAATGAAACTCTACATCTAACACCTGGTGTAATATCTCTCAATGCTGCAGACACTGCTACTACAATTCTTGCTGAGAATCAAGACTTAAATGAATCTCCTGCACCCTTTACTGAAGCGCCCACCAAGCCACTCTGCACCAGTCCTTCAGTTCTGTGCCCAGGTTCATCTTTATGCATCAAGCCAAAACAATTTTGTGATGGAAAGAAAGACTGCCTCGATGGTTCTGATGAGAACTGTGTGAAAAGATGCCCAAACAAGTGTAAGTCATTAAGTTATTACACTTAGTTCATAAAATTACGTTTCCAACAGATGTGTCACTGTGGACAAGTAGTGCTGTAAACCAACTTGCCACCCTTAAAAACCTTTTGTTAGTTTGAAGTATACAGAGCAAATCTGATACAATTCCATTCATGTCTTTGAATATTCTTTTACCTCCTGTAGCGGACTTCCCCTGCAAAGACCGCAGGAGCTGTGTATCAAAGAATCTGGTCTGTGACGGTCGCTCTCATTGCCAGGATGCATCAGATGAGGTCAACTGTCCGAGCATAGCTCTTCCTACAGCTCGAACAGACATCCTGAAGTGTCGCATGGGCTTCAGACTGTGTCGAGACGGGACAGAATGTGTCCTCTACAGTCACGTTTGTGATGGAGAGAGAGACTGCCAGGACGGATCAGATGAAGGAGGATGTGGTAAGTTTCTGTGGATATGTTGATTTTGCAAGGTGGAATAAATGCTTTTGTGGACGAGCACAGTTTGCTATGAAGCAGGCGAGTTTTTCAAAGACGTTTCCTTGTAGCTTAACAAGTATTATTTATTTATTTTTCATACCTAAAATTGCCTGCCAATTGAGCTTTATTAATTTGAATGAAAAAATTATATGAATGGAGATACTGATATCTTTTTACATTTATCATTTTTACATAGAAATTTAGTAGTTAGTATAAGTAAGGAAGAGCATCACTAAGAATCAAAGTTCAGATATGTCAATGATACCAGTGGCCTATGATGGAGACTACTAGAAATTTATTTATTTATAAAGGCATATATTTGTGGTAATTATTACTAATGTAATCATATGGCAAAGATAAGTTGATGTTTTTTAAAATGGAACTTTAAACCTAAACTTACTGTTGTTTATCAATTGTCAGATGCTGCACAGATTGACCCTACCACTCCTATCGAAAACTTAAATGAATCCCCTTTAAGTGTCAAACCCTATATTGAGCCTGCAACCAAGCCCTCCTGCACCAGCCCTTCAGTTATGTGTCCAGGTTCATCTTTATGCATCAAGCCAACACAATTTTGTGATGGAAAAAAAGACTGCCCTGATGGTTCTGATGAGAACTGTGTGAAAAGATGTCCCGCAGAAAGTAAGCCTTGAGTATAGAGTTTGTGTGTTCTTCTAAATCCAAATTTCCAATAATTCCATAATCCTACAAAACCGTGTCTTGGAACTTGGAAATCTTAATTTATTTTCCGTAATTTCCATCCAGACACCTTCCGCTGCAAAGACCTTCGGAGCTGTATCTCCAAGAGTCTGGTTTGTGACGGCTACTCTCATTGCCCTGATGGTTCTGATGAGATTGACTGTCCGAACGTAACTCCTCCTCCACCACAGACAAACGTCTTGAAGTGTCTCATAGGCTCAAAGCCATGTAATGACGGCAAAGAGTGTGTTTTATACAGCCACGTATGTGACGGAGAGAATGACTGTACGGATGGATCTGATGAGCAGAGATGCCCAGAAAACTGCAAACAAGGTTATATCACTTTAAACTTTTAATTCAATCTGATAGGCAACATTCAACTATAGTTGTTTTAAGGGGATATAAAAGCAATGTTATATTAACCTATTATTTATATAGACATTTATAGGTTTTGCTGTAGCCTATACACTGTTACCATGAATATTTTTTTTTTCTCAAAGTTCAATCACTTAACTAATGACTAAACTAATCAATAAAAGAACAACAAAAGAAGAATTGACAGTGGAGCACCGTAGACAGAAACTACTATCACTCTGTACTGTAAATGAGTACTTTGATGATGAGCTGTAATGCTGTTTAATTTAAATAGTCTAATCTTTCATCTGAACTCCACCACAGGCGAGTTTCAGTGCTCCCATGGGAACATGTGCATCCCTGAGGCTCAGGTGTGTGATGGGAAGCCACAGTGTCTGGACCAGTCTGATGAACTGGACTGCAGGGAACGAACCCGAAGCTGTGAGCATCACTGCACCGATGGCAAGCGCTGCATCCCGAAGAAATTCCTGTGCGATGGAGAGAGGGACTGCCTGGATGGCACGGATGAGGTGGGCTGTGGTAAGTCTGAGAGAGCTGTGATTTATGTGTAGATGTTAAAACGTAGCAATGGAAACCTCACGGAATGAATTTTCAACTTTTCCATGCAAATGATCCTTAAATTTCTGTTTACTTTAAGGTTGGCTAGCTATCAATCCTGACTGTAAGTGCTACAGCTTTTGAGTTTAACACTTAGTTTTACCTTCTTCAGATCCAGTTACTGCTACAACACCAGAGTCCCCTGTTCTCACTTCTGCATCAGCTTGCATCACTCCGTCAGTTCTTTGTCCAGGTTCATCACAGTGCATCTCTCAAAATCAGCTGTGTGATGGTCAAAGAGACTGCCCTGATGGATTTGATGAAAACAACTGTGTGGTCCAGTGTAATAACCCAGGTAAATCAGAGCAAAGGTAGTTGGCAATAATAGTAGTACGCATCTGTCAAATTAATGATGGTATGTACTGTGTGTGTGGCCAGTTTTGACATCCTCTGTAAAGTATTCAGTAGCTATTTTTGAAAATCCTTGGCATATTAACTCATTGCTCCTCAAATTGACACCTTTTCTTCCTGCACATTCAGATGACTTCTTGTGCAGTGACCGGAGGGCTTGTGTCTCCAGGATCGAAGTGTGTGACGGTCGTGCCCACTGTCCCGACGGCTCAGATGAGAAGCAGTGTCAGTCTGCAGATCCTAGTGCTCCCCGTAAGCCCCCTCGTAATGTGTTAAAGCAGTAAATAAGTTTCAAGCACATTTTTACAGCAGTTGTAGTTATTGCAAGACAATATATACAAAATTATTCTTCTTTCACAAACTAGAAACTACATACTTCTACCTAACAATTACCAGTCCCTGTGACAACCAACATATACCCTAGTAAGCACCTAATACACCATAGCAACCCAAAAACCTAGCAGCTACCTAGAGTACCATAGCCACCAGCTATGCACAGGTAGACTATCAACACAACCAACCATTTTGCTGCACTTCCAGCAAAAAGAACTCCAACCTGCCCACTCAGTTTCTGATTGTGTTTTTGGCTCAGTGGCTTCACGACTAACTGAATGCATATTTTTCTCTCTGCCAAGCCTCCATCAATGGACTCAGTGCCAGATCAGCCCCACTGAGGTGCCGCAAAGGTTTCAAGCCATGTAAAGATGGCCTGGAGTGTGTTATGTACAGCCATGTGTGTGACGGAGAGAGGGACTGCCAGGACGGATCGGATGAAGAGGAATGTGCCACTCATTGCAAAGCAGGTTTGTTTTTGTGCAGTGAGCTAGAAAAAAAGCACCTTAAAGCAATGACCCGATAATCTATTTTATATACATGGAAAATGTCTACGGAGTCATTCATAATGTCAAGGGACTTTGGTGCAGAAGTCTGTTTCTCAAGAAACGGATTTCTAAATTAAATTTCTTTTTAGTCCTGAGCTAAATTTAATCACTTTCCAGAAACCACCAGTGTTTTAAAACAATAAATGTAAATCATTTATGAACTGGATAGTTTGTGTTAGATCAGTTATTGATGCATTTGAAAAAAAGATGCTCTTGTAATGGATTATTTTTGAGGAGTCTCTTTTCTCTTCCCCAGCTGAGTTCCAGTGTGCCCACGGGAATAGATGCATCCCACAGGAGCAGGTGTGTGACGGACAGTACGACTGTCAAGACCGATCCGATGAAATGGACTGTTCAAGCCTGGCTGAGGGCTGCCATCAGCGCTGTGATAACGGCACTCGCTGTATACCAGAGACCTTCCTGTGTGATGGCGAGAGAGACTGCGCTGATGGGTCAGATGAGGAAAAGTGTGGTAGGTGCTGTCCAATATTTACATAAAACCAACAATCCTATTTCAAATGGTTGTAAAATGAAGATGAACGCATTTGTTTCTATCTTTCGAGGTTTGGTGGCCTGTGCGATTAACCAGTACCGCTGTGCTAGCGGCCAGTGTGTGTCTGAGGCTCTGAGATGTGATGGATATGCTGACTGCAGTGATCGCTCTGATGAGGTGGACTGCACAAGACCCCCACGCTGCCCAGCACAGCTCCGATGCCCGAACAGCCACGAATGCCTACAGAAAGAGTGGCTCTGCGACGGCGAGGACGACTGCAAAGACGGGTCAGACGAGAAGGTAAAGAACTACAGTTTTGAGTACTAGGTGAAGTAAATCTGTAGTAATGAGTAGAGGGAGGAAATTGAGGACATTTCCTTGCTTCCCCAACTTTTATATATGCATGGGGATGATTTGAGGGAAGTTGGGAAGCAGTGGTTGAAACTTGGTCTCATTTCTATCCAGAACTGCATGTCTCCACCAGCAAAGTGCAGAGAGTACCAGTGGCAGTGTGGGGACAGCAGTCAGTGCATCCCTCAGTCCTGGAGGTGTGACAGGAAGAGGGACTGTGACAACGGCATGGACGAGGACAAATGTGAGCATGTTTATTCTCAAATGGTCAGGTTTTATCCTCTGCTTCA